CCGACCTCATCGCAATTTAAATATTACAAAGAGATTAATTAAGAAGAAACGTGCAGTAAGCTGGTTGACTTTAACTTTTTATGTGTTCCGAGATTAAACTGAGATTCTGCTGAAGACTTGCGCTGTATGATATATGGATATAACGTGCCAATCAAAGTTGTTATCAACCTACATCCCTGCTTTTGATTTTTTTTTTTTTTTTTTTTACAATGTAGCTGATACAGGTTAGCGTGATTGTAGATGATGCCGATGTTGTTTTTTCAGTTTACACTCGAGAACCCCGAGAGCAGAGTTTTTACAAGCATGGGACGTGACAACAGAACTCCGTTTGCTTTCCATGCTGTGTTGATATCTCTCATGTTCTCTGAGTTTGCTGTGTCATTGTAATGAAAACACAGTACTTGTAAAAGTTCTCAAAGTTTGTAATACTGTTAAGCCATCTCTTGTTTTTCACACAGGTGGTATGTTTGTAATACTGATAAATGTTTCTATATTTAGAATGTCAACCGAAGAAAAAAAAAAAAACGAGTTTATACATTTTGAAACTGTCCTCAGATACTTGTCAAGGAGCAGTGTGTTTGGTTTTTGGGTAACTTTTAAGCTTAAACTTGAGTCGACTGTATCCTCTTGAAAATATTCAGTTGTAAAAGTAACCGATGATTAGTTGCTTCTTGTAATGAGATTATACATGTTTCGATTTTGCTTAAATCTTGCATTATGAACTTAAGTAGTTTACTTGAGGTTAAGTTTCTTAGTTCTTTATCTATAAGAATGCAAATTATTTCAAAGTGCGAGACTATACAGTGCATAGTGCAATTGTATTGTATTTCCAAATGTTTTTAGTCTATTATAGTGTAAGTTGTTAAATGATTTTAACCAATGTAAAATATACGAGGGTGCCACCTGTTTAACACTGTCAAATCTAGAGTGAAATAGGTCTTTATGTTTTGGGCAAGCTGAACAATGCTGTAAAATAAAAACTATTTATATTAAGAAGACTGATCACTGCCTACAGTAGCCTGAAAAAAAAAAACTGGGTTGAATTTAGGTCAGACTGCAAAACTCCTACAACTGGCCAAGCTCAATATTAGTTTAAAGGAACAGTGTGTTGCATTTAGGGGGATTTAGTAGCATCTAGTGGAGAGGATTGCAGATTGCAACCAGCTCAAACTTCACTCAGTTAGAGTCCCTCCAGTGTCCATTGTTCAGGAGGCTTTTACCTCTGAATTATCCAGAGGTCTCTTCAGCCCCAGTAATTTAAAGGGATAGTGCACCCAAAAATGAAAATTCAGCCATTATCTACTCACCCATATGCCGAGGGAGGCACTGGTGAGTCCTCACAACACTTACGGAGTGGATAAGTGGGTAGCAGCACCAGAACACAATTATGTGTTCTTGGACGTTTTAATCTGGATTGCTGTCAGCCACTAGGTGTGCAGTTGTACTGCTACCCACTTCCCCCTTGGATCTCTGTAAGTGTTGTGAGGACTCTAAAACTTCACCTGAGCCTCCCTCGGCATATGTGTGAGTAGATAATGGCTGAATTTTCATTTTTGGGTGTACTATTCCTTTAAATCGTTAAAAACACTGAATAAAGCAGTATCACCTTAAAATGGCGGACTCAAAAACCTGAATGGTCCTCTCTAGAGCAAGTGTGTGGTTTGTCCTTTTTGACCTACTGTAGAAACATGGTGGTGCAATATGGCGGACGCCTCCCTATGTAGATGTAAACGGCTCATTGTAAAGTAATGAAAACACAACTACTGTAAAACTTCAATTAGTAGTCCGGACTATTATTTGCTTAAATTGCTGAAATCAACAGGCCTATATTTGGGACAGGCCTTTAATTCCTTTCACACAAAACTGTTGCTCAGCAAAGATGGGAAATGCGTATAATAAGTATGAATATTACTTGTTTAAAAATTAGGCTTCAGATAATATATCGATTATGAATCATTCATTTGATGTAGCTCAGACAGACAGTGCATCACAGAAAGAGAGAGCAACACCACTTTATCTTGTTTAAACAATAATCACAACTTGGATTATTTTTTTATGAAAAACCATTTGATTCTTTAGATCTGAGGACCCTTACAGACTAAAGGAATATGAATAACTTCCAGGGTTATCAAGGAATGGACGCTTTATTTGAGGTAGTCAACAATCTGCTTTTATACATCTGAAGAACTTCAATTTAAAAAAAACCGAACTGCTTGGCAGCCAGACCAGGCCTCTAATTGAGACAGGCCTTTATTTGTCAAAATGTGCAGCAACACCGGGCTACTAAAAGAAACTGGATATTTAATTGGAATTTGGCTTTTCATTGAAGTTATACGGTATTCTTATTTTCAAGTGATTAAACACTAAAGAAAACACTTACTGTATTATTTTCTATTTCTGCCAGTATATCCCCTTAAATCCTACACACTGGACCTTAAAATCAGTGTTTCCAAATTAAATGCTGGGGTTAATCAGGGATCTTTAAAAAGGTTTTTCAAAGGTTATAAAATTTAAAGTCCCCTTCTGCTCAAAAATGTGTTTTGCTTATTGTTATTTTGATGTTGAGCTTCACTGTGCAGAATACTGTATGTGCAGAGGCTGACACTACTTTTCTTTTTTCGCACTCAGCTGAAGGGGGACTTTTCTTTTTGGGGCTCATCTTAAACTCAGTTTAAGAGTGTAATTATGAGCAGGATTTTGTGACATCACAACTACTTTAGAGCCAATCCCAGTCTGAAATTCAATTTACACATACATGTGCGCAGGAACAAATTTTCATGGCTGTCCAGTCTATCTCTAGTTGTCATAAAACTCCATCCCTACAGTGATGTCCCCCGCAGTAGAAGTCCCCTTGCATCCAAGGAAATTTATGGATCTAAGAAGCAGCTCCAAAACTATCCTAGCATTTTATTTCCTCTTTCTCAGCCTGTTTAGCCTGTATTCAAAAACTGATTAGCTCCCGCTAGCACTAATCTCTCCCTAAGTTTAGCTGACCCCGACCCTTACACTTTGACCTGACGTGATGAGGACATGTCAGATCTGAGGAATTAACTGAGCTGCACACCCTTTTTATTTACATCAGGCACCTCATCATATGCTATTCGAGATTCAAAACATGTTCGGGGCGATCTCTAGCTCACCTGGTAGAGTGTGCGCCCCACTTAGGCTTGTTCCTCGGCAATGGCGTGAGCGCGACTCTGACCTGTGGCCTTCTGCTGCATGTTATCTCTGTTACCCTGAGGCTGCCGTGTCAATAAAGCAATAAAAAGTCCAGAAAATAACACTTAAAACAAATGTTCAGATAGCCCATTAGTTATTGTACAATAGCTAACTGTGTACTGACGTGTCATTAGAGGGTGCTGCATATGGCAAGCCGTTTTAACATTTAATCGCTAGACTGGATATTCATTGCTGATATCTGCAACATAATTTTGCCTAGTCAAAACTCTTATTCAGGATATCTATAATTAGATTTTGCCTAGTCAAAACTCTAATTACAGATATCTGTAATTCAGTTTTGACTAGTAAGATTCAAACTACTTTTGCCATTCATGTGTATGGGGTTCGTCATTATAGATATCTCCAATGTAGTTGCGGATATCTGCAATTGTTATTGTGGATATCTGCAACTGAATTGTAGATATCTGTAATTCCAGTTTGAGATATCTACAATTTAATTTTGACTAGTCATAATTCAAGTTCAAGATATCTTTAATTATCATCAATTGAAGATATCTACATGGTCCTTTCTAGATATCTTGAATTGAGTTTCAGATAGTCAGAATGACGTTGTAGATATCTTGAATTCGAATTATGACTAGTCAAAATGACGTTGTAGATATCTGCAACTGAATTATGACCAGTCAAAATGACGTTGTAGATATCTCCAACTGAATTATGACTAGTCAAAATGACGTTGTAGATATCTACAACGTCATTTTCACTAGTCAAAATGATATCTACAACTGAATTATGACTAGTCAAAATGACGTTGTAGATATCTACAATGTCATTTTCACTAGTCAAAATGATATCTACAACTGAATTATGACTAGTCAAAATGACGTTGTAGATATCTTAAACTGGAATTATAGATAGTCATAATGTAATTGTAGATATCTATAATGACAAACCCCATACACATGAATGGCAAAAATAGTTTGAATCTTACTAGTCAAAACTGAATTACAGATATCTGTAACTGTAGTTTTGACTAGTCAGAATGACGTTATAGATATCTGTAATTCAGTTTTGACTAGTCAAAATGACGTTACAGATATCTGTCATTCAGTTTTGACTAGTCAGAATGACGTTATAGATATCTTAAATTAAAATTCATACTAGTCACAATGACATTACTACTAGTCAAAATGATGTTATAGATATCTATAATGGTAATTCCGGATAGTCAAACTTAGTGATTAAATGTTAAAACGGCTTGCCATATGCTGCAGCACCCTTAGCACCCACCTGCCTGCGCCCATGTACACAGGTGTGATGTGGAGACTTGAATCCTCCGGTGCACATATGTTAAAACTGACTTTTTATTTTAGTAAGAGACATGTTGTGTCTTTGGAAAGACAATACTTGTGTATTCACTGAGAGAGAAACAGTAGTTTGTGGGGGTTTTCCAACTAGTTAACTGGACTTTTTCCCATAATGAAAAACATGTCAGACAAATAATTATTCAATTGAATTAATTCAATTTTTTTTTTTTTTTTTTACACCTTTGTGCTTAGTAGACACTTAAATCTTTGTTTAAAAAAAGAAGGAAGAAGAAAGCATTTGGTTGATGGTTTGTCTACTTGCTGGTGAAGACAAAATGGAGGAAAATAACTTACCTGATCAGTTATTGCTCTCCATTGAAACTAAAGTGTCGTGTTGACAGTGTGATAAATATTATGACTGTGTAAACATGAGACAGATACAGTAACCGCAGCAGCACAAGGAAGCTGAGCATGTATCAAGGTTTTCACATTTCCGGGTCCTGTGACTTATCAGGTGGTTGCTGAGCGGCTGCAGGAGGAGGAGGAGGAGGAGGAGGAGGAGAAGGAGCATTAGAAAGTGGGGGGAGACATGTAATTTCAGTTTCATCTGGCCCTGAGCCCTGTCACTGACCAGCCCAGTCCTCCAGCACAGCAGCTCCTCACAGGAAGCCTACATGAGCCAGGAAGCAGCAGCAGCAGCCTGTAGCTGAGTCCTCGCAGAAGTTGTCAGTGTCAGTGTGTCAGCATGGCCGGGGGCTCGGTGTCTGAGTGTAAGGAGTACCTATTCAAAGTGCTGGTCATCGGGGAGCTAGGCGTCGGGAAGACCAGCATCATCAAACGCTACGTGCACCAGCTTTTCTCGCAGCACTACAGGGCGACGATCGGCGTCGACTTTGCACTCAAAGTCATCAACTGGGACAGCAAGACTCTGGTCAGGTTACAGCTGTGGGACATCGCAGGTAAGGACACGCATCCACTCCAACAGAGACACATTTGGTCTTAACATCTGAATCAGATGCTTTTAATTTGGAAGTTTCACTTTCACAGATCGCTTTCCTAAAAGTTTCTTCCACGATTGAATTAAATATATAATCAGTTTTAATGTTGCACCAGAAATCCCCACACGTGTTTGGAAACATTATGTAATGAAGTTCCCACGAGCTGAGAGGAGTTTCCAGCAGAAAGGACCGGTCGATCATGTCTGCTCTTTGTCTTTTCCACTTTATGATCACGGCAGCTCATAATTGTCAGGGGAATGTAGGTCACGTTGTTGTTACCGACTGAGCGCCGCCCCCCTCCAGCTCATGAAACTCCCCATCATATCCGACCAACATGTTCCTCGGGGATTTAACATGCGTTTCTGGGTTTACTCAGTAACTTTACTGGCCCTTATCTTTATGTCATGCTGTTCATGTCGCAGTGTCAACTGTTAGATTCTTAAAATGGCACTATCCAGGGGCAGATTATGAGATAATGGGCCCCTGGGCACTGACACACAGAGGGCCCCACCACCTCTCCCACATAGATGCAAGACACACAGATTTCACAGGCCTGGTTGGTTTTTGTTGTTGTTTTGTGTCCCTTTGTAGTAGTTATGCATCGCTCTGGTTTAGTGCTGCTGTGTGGTCATTTTCTGTCTCTTAATAGTTGTTTTGTGTCTCTTCAGTTTCTTTTTTGTCTCCTTGTAGTAATTTTGTGATTTTTTTTTGTGGTCATTTTTTGTCACTTTGTGGTTGCTTTCCTGCTCTTTGTAGTATCCTTGTGTCTGTGTAGCAGTTTTGTGTGTCTTTGTAGTTGGGTGTCTTTGTGGTTGTTTTGAATCTCTAGACATTTAGTGTCTCATTGTAGTAGTTTTGTCTGTGGTCATTTTGTGTCTCTCTGTAGTTTCTTTCTGTCTCTTTGTATCAGTTTTGTGTGTCTTTGTGATTGTTTTGAGTCTCTTTGTACTTTCCTTGTGTCTTTCTGAAGCAGTTTTGTGTGTCTTTGTAGTTGTTTTGTGTCTCTGTTGTTTTGTATCTCTGTGGTCATTTTGTGTCTCTTTGTAGTTTCTTTCTCTATCTTTGTAGCAGTTTTGTGTCTCCTTGTGGTCATTTTGTGTCTCTGTAGTTGCTCTGCATCTCTTTGTGGCCATTTTTTTGTCTCTTTGTACTTTCTTTGTGTCTTTTTGTAGCAGTTTTGTGTGTCTTCATAGTTGTTTTGTGTCTCTTAGTGGTTGTCTTGTGTCTCTGAGGTCATTTTGTGTGTCTTTTGTAGGTGCTTTGCATCTCTTTGTGGTTGATTTGTGTCACTTTGTAGTTAATCTGCAGCTCTTTGTAGCAACTTTGTGTTTCTCTGTAGCAGTTTTGTGTCTCTTTGTAGATGTTTTGTGTGTTTTGTAGATGCTTTGCATCTCTTTGTGGTCGATTTGTGTCACTTAAGTTTCTGTGTCTCTTTATAGTCATTTGTGCCTCATTGTAGTTGTTTTGTGTCTCTTTGTAGTTGATTTGTATTTCTTTGTGGTTGTTTTGAATCTCTAGTCATTTTGTGTCTCATTGTAGTAGTTTTGTATCTCTGTGGTCATTTTGAGTTTCTTCCTAGTTTCTTTCTGTCTCTTTGCAGCAGTTTTGTGTGTCTTTGTGGTTGTTTTGCATATCTTTGTGGTCATTGTGTGTCTCTTTGTAGTATCCTTGTGTGTCTTTGTAGTTGTTTTGTGTCTCATTGTCATTGTTTTGTGTCTCTAGTCATTTTGTGTCTCATTGTAGCAGTTTTGTATCTCTGTGGTCATTTTGTGTTTCTTTGTAGTTTATTTCTGTCTCTTTGTAGCAGTTTTTTGTGTCTTTGTGGTTGTTTTGAGTCTCTTTGTGGTCATTTTGTGTGTCTTTGTAGTTGCTTCGCATTTTTATTACCCATTTTAGTTCTTTGTTGTCATCTTAAAGGGGCAAAAAGCAAAATCGTTTCACCGCTAGGTTTGCTGTTGTGCACTGCCTGTAGACCAAAACAAAGTGTGTCATGAGCCACTCCTCCCTCTACCTCTGCTATATTTGCTGAGATGGAGGCAAGGCTCAGTGACTAGAGGAGCTGGTAGAAGCGCTCCATAGCTGTTAAGTCACTCCAGTAGCCGGTGGCAGCTGACTCGGCTAGTGCTAACACCGGGAGCTAACGCTAACATTCCTCTTCTTCTCCGTGAGTGAGAGCGATGTTTTAGCCTAGCGGGCAGCTGGCTCGTGGGCTGCCCACTAGGCTAAAACATCGCTTCAGGTTAAAGTGGGAAGAAGCAGCGGGTTTATCGGGCAGCTGAGTGAAGCTGGGTGAAGTGGAGGCTGCGGAGGAAACACCGGGATGGGTTAATGTCCGGAGCTTGAGCAGCCTGCCAGGCTGCCCGCCAGGCTCGCAGGCTGCCTGCTAGGCTAAAACATCACTCTCACTCACGGAGAAGAGTAGGAACGTTAGCGTTAGCTCCCGGTGTTAACACTAGCCGGAATCCGAGTCGGCTAGAGCCCGCCAGGCTGCCCGCCTGGCTCGCTTCCCACATTAACCTGAATAACAAACCAGGGCTCGGTGCTCCGGTTGGATCCAAACAGAGAGCCGGTGCTAGTTGGGAAGCTAGCGGAGGCTAACTGGCTGTGCTTCCCTCCGGTCATGCTGGGGATTCACATGAACGTTTTTTAATTCCTTCAATCTAGAAATGATGAATTTCGCTTATTGCTCCTTTAAATCTCTTCGAGCTTGTTTTGTGTCTCTTTGTGGTTTATTTTGAGTCTTCTCCAGATCAGTACATGTCACATTGAGTGACAGGTAATGGTAGAGTGGCAGGTGAGTGGCAGGTGAAGGTAGAGTGGCAGGTGAAGGTAGAGTGGAAGGTGAAGGTAGAGTGGCAGGTGAGTGGCAGGTGAAGGTAGAGTGACAGGTGAGTGGCAGGTAATGGTAGAGTGGCAGGTGAAAGTAGAGTGGCAGGTGAGTGGCAGGTGAAGGTAGAGTGGCAGGTGAAGGTAGATTGACAGGTGAAGGAAGAGTGCAGGTGAAGGCCAGGGGACACCCCTGACACTTTGGGCCCCTGGGTCGGTGCCCCGCAGGCCTGTTCAGTAATCCACCCATGTCCCTATCACATGTGATCTTTGTATTTATGAGGAGATTTCAGTAAACTTCAGTAAATTCTTCCTCAGAGCTTGTAAATTTGGCACACATGCCAACCTGTGCATTCCAGCAGCTTGAGTAAGCAAGCCGAGAGAAATCAGAGCAGTGTAAATAAAAGTTTCACACACATCATGCAGCAGGCGGCCCCACTCAAACTCTCATTGTTTGTTCATCTCCCGGCACAGAAATATCACACTGCAAACAGAGGAGTCTGTCTGAGAATGTCATGCTTGAAAGGACAGGTGAGGGAGGAAGTGAGAGGCAGACAAACCAGCACACACACAATGACGGTTAAATGTCGACCAAGCTGACAGATGCAGGCTGTCTACGGCTCAGTCAGCAGGAATGAGGGGTGTAATGTGGGACGTTGGGTGGGTGAGGGGTGTCTGTATTGTCCCATTAGCTTCTGTCTTTTCATATTGGACCTGGAGTATATTCATAGCCAAAAATATATCTCACATTAGGGCTTGTGAAATTGCTTGGTCACATATAGGCCTACTGTATTTCGTAAGGCCAATTTACAGTGGCTATTTTTATGTTAGGTGTAATGAGATCACGTGGCTTCAGGGCTCTTGTGTGTCTGCATAGATGATAGTTTTGCACATTGATTTACAAATGCAGATTGTACTGTTTGTTCCAGACGAAACAATGATCATCTCAAATGTGCAGACGGACAGTACAAGTAGTTTGTCATTCTCTGAGAAGGAGTGTGGCTAAAGGATTTTCTGTATGCAAAGAAAGAATGTTGTCACTGTTCAAGTAGATAAAATAAGAGTATTTTCATTATTGATTAATTTGCAGATTAAGTTCTCAGTTTTTAGGTGTATTAAAAATCAGAAAATTGCGAAAATGGCCATCACGATATCCCAAAACTGAAATTGAAATTTAAAGGTCCAGTGTGTAGGATTTAAGCAGGATTTATACTTCTGCGTCGAATCGCTGACGTACCTCCTGCATAGGCTCAACTACTAGAGCCTATGCTGTAGCCTACACCGTAGCCTATCGTGCACCTCTCCAGAGATGTAACTACACCTCGCAGCAATGCAGACCTCCTGTCTGTTTCTGTAAGCTGAAATTATTTCCCTCAGTGGAAACAAAGCTTTTATTTACTTTAATTTCACAGATAAGAAACAATAAATTGTGAAGACAACAAAGCCTCCACAAAATAAGCATTTTAAGTCTTGTGTGTGATTTATCCTGGCTTCATATGAGCGGAGGAAATCTCTAGTTGCTAGGCTAATTTATACAATGTAAAATGCCATAGGCTTGTGCTAATAACGTTAGCATGTTATATTTGTTTGGAAAACGTGTTTAGTATAAGACAGTTGTTTCGATGGTGAAACTCATGAGTTTCAATGGAAGCAAATTTTGTAACGTTACCTTTGTTAAATGTTGCTGTTGTCCCTGGATTTATATGAGTAGGGGAAAAGTCTGCTAGCTGCGAGGCTAATTTATACAATGTAAAATGACATAGGCTTGTGCTAAAAACATTAGCATGTTGTATTTGTGGTGAAAATGTGTCCAGATAAAGACAAGTGTTTGTCTGTGAATGCTGTTGTGTACTTGTGTTTGAGATTGTCGCTATTAAGCCATGTTTAATGTGTGTTTAATGTGTGTTTTGAATCAACTAAACTTTACAGCACTTCACAGACACCCCACTGCTGACTAGTGTTTTGGAGGTGTAACTGCAGAGTGACACAGACACACCACTGCACAAGTATAAATGCTCACTACAGCGTAGGCCAAATGCGTAGGCTACAGCATAGGCTCTACATAGAGCTGACACACAAGTATAAATCCACCTTTAGGGGGATATATTGGTAGAAATGGAATGGAATATAATATA